AATGATATTTTTGTACAAATCAATTGTGCAACTATTTGTGACAGTGAAAGTACAGTCAAGTGTACTTTGTTGAAAAAATGAAGTGAAAGTCAAAGGTATTGACGACAATTGCTAGCATCAGATCAATCCCAGTCGGGCGCGCAATGGCTTACTTAGAGTGAGGAGAACGGCTTGAAAGTCTTCTTTGGCGCGAGCTGTATCATTTTGGTAGCACTTATTCAGGGCCAGTCGTGCAACCACCGCTCCCCCAAAGTTGACGTCCAATGCAGTGCCCATCCGATAGAGAAACGCTATCGAAGGTTCATCATCATCAACAAGATATCTAATACTTTTCTCCTCTTTGCGGCGCTGTTCCAGAATATCCGTCACTTGGAGCAGCAAGTCTCGGGGAGGAATCGTCTGCGTGAAGGTCACTAGAGAGGCGAGCAGCACTAGGAGAAGGTTCGGGTACAAGAGAGAGTTTCGGTACTTCAAATTCCCCAGTGAAATCTCCCGTTGGGTTACTTCGTCCCAGTACCTTGCATTGTAGTAGGTGCCAGCCCGCGCTTCAATAACCCAGAAGCGAAGTGCATCTTTGGAGACCGTCTGAAACAGTGATCGCAACACCGGCCAGACGATTTCAAGCGGAAAGTGCTCCGGACCGAGTCCGACTAGAATGCGATTGAAGAAGAGTGATGCATTGTTTTGATCAGTGGTTTCCAGCTCAGCCTGAAAGACTATGGCGGCAAACAGCTTTGGCAGAAAGAGGTTTGGGTACCAATGCAACCGGTGCATCCTGATGTGATCAAGGAATAATGGAATCAGGAGCACGTCATTGTTTACCTCCTTCCACCAGAGACCCACTCGGTCGAGCATCCTCAGCACCACTTGCAGTTGCTGCTCTTCATCATCGTGATCCATGTTGTCCCTGCGTTAACAAGGCTTTAATAAATGGTAATTTTAGCAATTGAAGTTATCAAATTTTTTGTTTGCATCTTACCCGATGGTAGTGTGAAAAGTTTTATCCAGGTGCCGAAAACTCAGTGTTTTTCTCAGACAGTGCTTCTGTTTTGGACTTTTCTCGATCCTCGGCTCGCTCCTTCAGATTTTGAAATTGTTGCGAAGATCATGCGCAGTCTTTTAAAGTGGTGTGTATCCTTGCTCCATCAGCCCGCTAAGCATGGCTGGTGAGAGACTGACCGTGCAGCAAAAAAGAAAAAGTCGTTCAAAAAGTGTCCCCACCAACCNTGACCGTGCTGCAAAAAAGAAAAAGTCGTTCAAAAAGTGTCCCCACCAACCGACTGCGGAATGAAATGTGTGCTCGACTCTCTATTTTTGCAACCACTTACCAGTCAGCGCCCAGGTGATGCTGCTCTCTTGTGAATGCATTTTAAAGTACAAACACTCTAAATCACGGTAAACTAATATAACCAAAATAGAGGTTTTATTCATCTTCTTTAATATTGCTAATAACAGGAAAAGGTAAAGTAGTGGGAGGAGGAGGTGAAAGAGAATGAAAAGAAGATGAGAAATAGGTAGATGTTAAAAGGAGTGATGCTGCGGAAGCTGTTGTATGGCAGCCAGTTGAAAGGGCGAAAAGAGGGTGACAAAGACCAGCAGCAGCACTTCTTTTCTTTAGCCCTTCTTCGAGGAACCCGCTTTTGAGGCGCCCTTCACCGAGGCGCCGCCCTTCTTCGAAGTGCTCGCATCGGCTTTCTTCGAAGTGCTGGCGTCAGCCTTCTTACTGGTGCTGGCGTCGCCACCCTTCTTTGAGGTGGACGCCTTTGAGCTGGCACCACCGGCCTTCATCGAGCCACCCTTCTTCGAGGCAGAAGCGTCATCTCCGGCGGCATCGTCGCCCTTTTTGCTGCTGCTAGCGTCACCCTTCTTCGAGGTGGAGGCGCCACCCTTCTTTGACGTGCTGGCGTCTTCCTTCTTCGAGGCACCTGCCTTGGAGCTAGCACCACCCGCCTTCATTGAGCCACCCTTCTTGCTGGCAGTGGCATCGTCGCCCTTCTTACTGGCACTTGCATCGTCGCCCTTTTTGCTTGTGCTGGCGTCGCCCTTCTTCGACGTGCTGGCGTCCTCTTTCTTCGAGGCTCCTGCCTTGGAGCTGGCGCCGGCCGCCTTCATCGATCCGCCCTTCTTACTGGTGGAAGCGTCGTCGCCCTTTTTGCTGGCGCTGGCGTCGTCACCCTTCTTTGAGGCGCTGGCATCGTCACCCTTCTTCGAGGTGCTGGCGTCTCCCTTCTTGCTGGCACTGGC